GCTGCGTTCCACGCTGGCGAGGGCGTCCCCCCAAATCTGAGGGAGTGCGCCCCGAGCTCAGGCATCTGGGGGGCCGGACGCTCTGGACCCTTGTGTCTGGGGAGGGCGCAGAGCCGAGCGTGGGCAGTGGGGGTGCAGGAGAATTCACCCCCCATGTTGGCCTTGCAGGCGCTGAACCTGGCGAGCCCCCGGACCTTCCGCGACCTTTCCAAGCCCATGGGAGCGCAGACCCTGGAAAGGAAACGCAAGTTCGTCCAGCGCTACCACGAGGTGGAGAAGAGCGAAGGTGGGCGCTTGGGGGCGGTGGGTTTCAAAAGGGGGGAGGCAGAGGTCTGCCAGGGGAACCCCAGTCATCTAGAGCAGTGCTTCGCAGCCTGGGGGTCACGGCCGGGCTCCCGTGCGGCCGCTCAGGAGAGTCCAGTGCTGCCCAGCTGATTAGCAGAGCCCCCCCGGCACAGGCTGTACTCCTGGTGGTGCCCATGCCTCTGGGAATATAAAATTTGTTCCGCACGTGGCTGGAAAGAGTCAGCGGGAACATTGGTCAGGACCCCTGGATTTTGGGGCGTCTCAAGTGCAAGGCTGGCATGAGGGGCAGCAAGCGCCCCAGGGAGCTAAGCTGTGGCCTTCTGGGACATGGCTCCTAATAGGGATGACTCCCATCCTGTCCCCCTCCCCAAGTGCCCTGCTCTGCTAGCCCTGCCCCCGCCCTGAGGATGGTGGGGGGGGGGGGGCAGTTTGGCCCCTGGGGAACGGGCGGTTTCTGGGGGGACAGGGTGATGAGCAGGGCTGGAAAAGGTGTGTCCCCAGGTCGGGTGGGGAGCAAAGGCCTCACAGGAAGGGAGGGGTGAGGACCCAGTGGGCTCTTCCCCCGAGAATACTCTGGCTCCGGTGGGGGGGTGGAATTTCTGCCTGCTTCCTGCAGCAGCACCGGCTGGCTGCTTGCGCCCCGAGAGGCAGGGCTGAAATGTGCAGTCAGAAGGCACCATTTTGTTTGCCAGGCCTGTGCCCCCTTTCGGCCTGGTGTGCACTGAGCCCTGGGGAGGCGGAGGAGGAGCAGGCAGGTGGCCTGGAAAGACGAGGGCATTCGAGCGCTGCTAACGTTAAGGCATCCGCCAACTTGGTCTCATCCGCAGGGCCGTAGGCAGGGTCCTTGGAAGCTAAGCGCTTGGGCAGCCGCCCAGGAGAGATTCACATGCTGATTGGCAGAGCGCCCACAGCCGGCAGGGTGTGTGCCTACTGGTGGTGCACATCCCCACAGGCTTCCGTGCACATCGTAAAATGTGTTCCGCACATGGATAGAAAAACATAAAGGGAATGTTGGTGGTAGGGGTTACCTGTGACGCCATCCAGTCCTTATATGGCCATGCGGGTGATAGCTGGGGAAGTGGAGATCACTCTTTTGCAAATGCAACCAAATAGTAACTGAGGACTCCAGAGATATCCAGGGGCAAGAGGTACAGAGACGCTTTAGGGCCTCTGCTCTCCTCCAGTATTGCACCCTGGGTGTGAATGGGTATTGGTGCGTGCACCTAGCTGGTAGCAGTGTACCTGTGTGGTTGTGCGTGCACATGTAACCCACACACCTAGGCTACTTCTCCACTGCAGGCTTTTTGTGGAAGAACAGCCGTTCTGGCGCAAAATCTTGCGGAGCGTCTACACTGCACGCGTGTTCTTGTGCAAGTCAATTTACAGTCAAGCATCAGAAGAGATGCACTTGCGCAAAAGCATACGGCAGTGTGGACACGCTCTTGTGCAAGACCTTTTGTGCAAGAACTCTTGTGCAAAATGCTCTTGCACAAGAAGCCTGCAGTGCAGATGTAGCCCTAGTGTGGGTCACTGGCCATGCAGGGGCACTTAGCCCACTTACAGTGAGAGAGAAGAACAAGGGAGCAGGGTGCTAGCTGGCTTCATAGCTTTAGCTGAAGAAGCTCCTATTCGAAGCTCCAGAGGTCCCAGGTTCAAATCTGCCCAGTGGTGGTGACACGCACCCCTCCTACTGGCCGTGGCCTGGCACGAGGATCCTTGCACACCTCTGGCTTTCAAGCCCTGCTCCTCCCCAGGGTGGTGTTTTGCAGCTGTGCTGTCCAATGGCTAAGTGTTACCAACCGAGACTTGATCCTCTGCTGTCCAGGAGACCCGTCGGCCCAGTGTCACTACTGCACCCACTACTCCTCCGCCATCATCGTGACGTCGTACTTGGTCCGGATGGAGCCGTTCACCCAGACCTTCTGCACACTTCAGGTAACGGGACGCAGCCTTTGACCTCCCTGGCACGGAGCGGGTTCTGCTGCTCCTAGATTCCCGCGCCTGGCTCGCCCCCCGCCCCTTCATCCTCGTGTAACTCCAGGATGTCCCACGCGGAGCCTGGTACCGATGGAGGCCCCGTGGCGCTCCCTTCGGGGAACGCTCAGCGGCAGAACCCGGTACCGGGGCT